GCTGCCGGTGCAGGGCCGCTGCCACCGAGCACCACTTGAACAGGTATTCCGAAAAGGTGGAAATGCAGCACACTGCTGCCATGTCACAGCAGTACTGCTCTGTCTCCAGCTCAAACCAGGTCGATGATTCTTCTTCCTGATCATCACTGGACAGCAAGGTTACTGTGGACTGGCTTGTATCTTCTTCATACTCTTGTACGAGCTGAACAATAGGACTTTCTTTAGTCAAATCCACCACCACTTGCTCTTTATCTATCTGTGGAATATCTGTAGTAACAAGTCTACAACAAAAGAGTTAAAGACAGGATGTTAACTCAACAGTTTCACATGTCTGCTCTGGAAGATTGCAAAAGTAGGATCTTTCAGAAAAATCAGCAAAGCTCAGTCTGGTGACCAAAGGCCAATTTGGAGACAGTGAGAAATCCTCTAAAGTAGTATTTTCTCTGATGTTCTTCAGTCTCAATTTGCAAACAAATTATTTCAACTCTTGCTTCTGAAACAGAAGCCTTCTCAGTCAGATATTGCCCCTTCCCTCACCCCTGAAAAAAGTCACCATTTCAAATATCACTGAACTCTTCCACAGCAAACATCTTACTCTGCTGCTGCAATGTTCAAATGCAAATGCAGGAAACTCAGCCTTCCCACTGAACTTCCTCAGTCTCTCAACAACAGAGTACTCGAAAACCATAAAACCTCAGAACACAGCACAACTCACATCTTAACACTTAAGAGGTAGAGTCTTGGCTCTAAGTAGCCAAATCAATTCTCACCAATTGTAATCGAGTGGAAAAAAGCGCCCCAGAATCTATATACAACTCCTCTTTCCAACCTAATTCTGTGTATTTGCATATGAATTTTCACTAAGGATAGTCTAGTAAAAATATACGCGTCTCAACATGAATTTTTGCCAGTATAATTTAGTTGAAGTTTAAGCAATACAATTTAATGCCTAATTAGTCTCCCTCACAGGAGACAACCACAAAATCTAGACCAATATTAAGTCAGTTCTGTGCCAAAATAAAACACGTCATAACGTTTTGTTACGGAAATACATATACAAACCATAACTAAACCAATAAATTCCCCTGGTTAGTAACAATACCACACTACAGATTTCACCAAATACCTGCCTTTTCACTTGTTTATGTCTGTATGTCACACCTTAGCATTCTGGTAGCCAGGATTCCAGACTGGTGCATGTCAGTCTCTGCTAGGAACACATTACAGAAACCCCAGCACCAACCACTTACTCTGGTGAAGGAACAGGCGTTGGTTCCGGCAGTCTCGGTGCAGCTGTTGAAGTTGCAGGAGTGGCAGTGACATTTTCAGACACGCTCTTGTTCCCTGCTGCAGGAAGGAGGTAAATGTGAACATTAAAATTCAAAGACTGTCTTTGTTTCCAAAGAATTTGAAGCTTAGGTTTGTTGCTGGGGTTTTCTTTGATTATTAACTGCCCGATCAAATTCATTGCAGATGTCATTCCAAGTTATTTGAATGAAAGTGCTGTCAGTTTATAAATATGATGTTGTGGACAGTCTCAGAATACTTCCAGCAGCAGGAAATTAGACTTAAACTGGGTAACAGAGTAAAGGTCTCTGAACAGCACTGAACAGGCCTATGTGTTATCTTTGTATCAGTTCCTTTCTCAGCAAATTTGGCATCTTTGTTCCACTTTTCGCATTAAGTAGGATATGAATTCCATGACACTAATCAGCTGTGCCATAAAAGGTGGAAAAAGTCACTTAAACATAGATCATCCAACTCTTCACAGTAACATTAAACAAGACAACAAGGAGAAATTAAAATTTTACAGAATGTTTTTCATTAAAGAAAACCATCAATAAAATACCTTCTGCTTCAGTTGACTCTTCAGTTTTGGCTCCGAGCATATTAGCAGCAATGTTCACCATACTGAGGATGGCATCTAAAGGAGACAACAGCTACTCAACAAGGACACACTCAGAAATTAGCTGCACTGAGCAATCTGCTATTCTGCAATACTTGCTTGAAAGGAATCACAGTATAAAGACATTAAAAAAGCCTGGTCATTCTATTATGTTGAATGCAGCTGATCCTTTTAAAGGGTAAGTTAATAACCTAACCTTCACCAGCTGGACCTTCTAACACCAGCAAGGAGTACTTGCTGATCATCAGTCCACTGAAACATTTGCTGGCAACTTGAGTATGTGAACCTCTGAGGAAGGTTCTAAGCCAGAAATCTAAAGCTTGAACACTCAAATGGAAAAGCTCTAATAAAGACAGTCTGGCTCATTTCTCATAATAGAACCAAAGTGAGTCAAGAAATGTCAAGACTAGTGGAAGACTCTGCAGAATATTTCTTATGAGATTAAATATCTGGGAATCCCTGAATCTCCCCCTCAGATGACCCTCTTCCTCACTGCTTGTTTGAGACAAATGATGCAAAATGGAAGTCTATCACTTTTGTCCAAGCATGTACATATAAGAAAACCAACACAAAAAAAACCCCCACAGACTCTACTCCTTCCAAAAGAGGAACCCTGACTACCCTGCCAGAGGAAAGGTCTCAACAAGATCCACTAAATAATGGTCACTGCAATGTGTCAGTGCTTTGGGAAGACAGTTGAGCACACTCAGCAACAGAGGTTTCAAACCTTTTCATCTTAGCTGTAGTACTCTAAAAAAACTAACAGAAAAGTCACTGCATTTTTTAGACAGTGAACATGAACTTGCAACACTGCCCTTACAGACAGATCATGTGAATATGCATCATCAGCACAGCCTGAAAGTAGAACATTTGAAAGCCTCAGAGAAGAGATAAGCAGTGTGAGGGAAGAATTTATTGCTTTCTCTCATCTGTGAGACACTAACACTTGGAAAGAATCTGCCTTTTGCACTATCTATTCCCCTTTTGAAAACTGTTCTAAGCTGTGAATACTCCTAGCCATGACCTTTTTATTCTCAGGAGACAACCATTTTCTAGGAAATGGCACCAGAGAGTTCTGTAGCTCTGATCCATTATGGGATGAAAGGAAAGCCTGAGCCCAGACAGCATTAACTGAGTGCAAATCTACAGTACAGGAACAAATCTTCATTAACTGAGAAAGAAGAGCAGAACAGTGCAAGAGTTCCTTAGAAAAAAGTTGTGTGGAGCTGATACCAGCCTGAATAATTCAGCAGTTAAGAATGCAATTAAAACTGAATATTCACCTATTCTTAACAAAAAAACCCTACACTGCAGGTTTTCCAATGGGAAAAGTGAGAAGAGACAGTCAAGAACCATTAAGTTCTCTCAAAGAAAAAAAAAAACAAACAAAACCAAAACCCTAATGGAGAACATAAGTTACAATATGTACATAAAGCCTTCTCAGAAACAGTATTCTCCATTCCTCCCTTTCAAGCTGTACACAAAGTGAATCTTTATACTGTCTCATATAAATAAAGCACATTAAACAGATTTCCAAGTTCCAAATAGTTAAGGTTCTACAGCACTTTAGTACTGGCTACTTATACCCCTGTGCAACATTCCCATTATCAGAAGTGCTCAGGATCCTTAAGTACAGAACAAGTTTTCACAAAATAGACACCCTTAGAAATGGAAAGTTCTATTTTTAGAACACTTTTTAAGATTGATATCCCAACCTGAAATTGTCATCTATTCCTATGAAACTAAACAGGAATCCCAATACATTGTTTCGGCAGAAGAACATGCACTTTGTAGATGTTGCATGACAAAATGTCATTCTACTTTGAATTAACTCCCCTTGTTTTAGCACAGCAATAGTTTTTCTAATAAATCATACTCACTTGTTGCAGAACCAAGAAGATTTTTTGAAGATTTTTCTTCGCCTGTGTTGTAATCCAATAGATAATCTATGCATAAAGAAGAACACTTGTGACTATCAAAATTAACATTTTTCATTTAAAACACCAAGTCTGCAGCCAAAATAAGCTCCTTCCCAATTGCTTGGAGCATTGATTGTAAAAACAATGACAGGAAATGGGCTATGGGCACTAAATATAAATCTGTTTTGTGTGAGCTGTTTTGATTATCTTTGTAATCCCTGACTACTGTCAGCACATGAAGAAATTTTTGTCTATTCTGCCAAGTGGAACAGAGACTTATTACAGCATTTTAAGGCAACCTCCCACATAGTTACATTTAAACACTCAGTAAATTTAACAGTCAAATCTTTTATCGTAACCAGGAAACAACGAGCCACCAGACTAGCACAGGAGATGTGTGAATGGCTAAAAAAAATGCACAAGATATTTGTTTACCATAATCTTCATCAAAGAGTTCTTGCCGTTCAGACTGATACTGAGAATCAGCTATTTCTTCATACTCTTCAACCATGCTCGTACCAAATACCCTAGGAACAAAGTTTTAAAAGTAAACCTAATATTAGCCTGTTAGTTATGTAATTGTGTTACCTAATTGATAAGCACTTTTATGTAGCAAATTAATTAGAAACACAGGAGTTGCATTCAGTCAACCAAGATCAAACAGGAGGTATGTTTATTTTCTCAAAGTTGTATCCACAAAATCTACTGCAGACTTCTAAATGCTGATCCAAAACAAGACCCTGTTTTTCATTCTGTTAATTCCAGAGTCTTTTACTTAAAGCAGTCTTGGCAACTGACAATATGGTTTGACTTCTACCACTGCAGAGTTCCCAAGTTC